TTGAGGGTTGACAACCTATCCACTTCACTAGGTCGCCACACCCTTCTGAGCCTCTAATCTTAATATCTTATAGATATAAAATTCAAATATAAATTTTTTTTATATATTCTACTTGTAAAAAGTTTAACTAAGTTTTAATAAAGATAGAGGCATGACCTTATTATTAAATATTTTTAAAAAAACAAATATTATATTTCTATTAGATCTATTATTTCTATCATTTCTATAATATCTTATATATCTTTTATATCTTTTATATATATTATATTTATTATATCTATTAGTTCTTATATATCTTAATATAATATTATTATATATAGCATTTATTAGCAATATAGTTTTTATTATAATAATTTATACATATAAAATATCTATAAAAGCACTACTTTCTGATCCTCAAAAAGTTAAGTATCATTATACATTTTAATAATAAATAAACTGAATATAATATTTAGTATCTTTATATACTATTATTGTCTTTGTTTTAAAATTTCAAATTACTTTATATTTTGTTAAGTCTTGTGTAGACTTTATATAGAATTTGGCAAGTTATAATCATCATAATATAGTTGAACAACTTCTGTTATTACTGTAATTAAAGAAAAAACAACAGATTAACATTTTGGTGATAACTGTAAAATAAGTTCTCAATTTACTATAGATAATTGTTTTTAGTTAGTTATAAGAAAACTCTGCCAATATTGGTCTATATAATCTAATATTTGAAGAATATATATTTAAAAACCTATCAAATTTTTTTTACTAAATGTATCTTAATAAGAAAATCTTTTTGGAACCCACTATTCAACATCAAAGTAGTGATGTCATTTTTGATTTATAAAGAATTTGCAAGAAACCTTTTTTGAAGAAGTATTTTGATTATTATTATACAAATTTTAAATGTCTATTACTCAACAACCACTAGACTGATTTTAGTGTTTTGATCTTTTTTAAGACTAAAAGAACTTCCTCTACATCTTTTACTTAAGTAACAAAGTCTAGCCATCCTAGTATCACCTATAAAAAAATATAGCTGACATCATTGATTATCATGTAATAATGATGTCTAACTTTTATCTTTATTAATTGTTATACTAATACTTTTAAAACTTTAACTTTCAATATAGATAAAAAAAAATCATTTGTGGTTTATGTCATATGAAACAGGAACAAGAGTATAAAAATAGTGTGAACAGAAAAGAAAAACTACTGCAACTTGCCAGAAGTGCTATAGCAAATGAAAAAGATCTTTAGAACAAATTCAAATTAAAGAAGCTAGCCTTAGAAGTGAATTAGCTATTGATTATGAAGACATTAGTAAATTTGTACATAATTCTTTGATTTCTCTAGAAGGCTCAAATGACAATTATGAAAGTGATACTTTAGAGTTTTATATGAATTTTGATGTTTATTTAGAGAATAAAGAATCAACAAAATATGAAGAACTAAGTTGTCAGATAGTATTATATATAGAGAAAGAAGATGGTTATTGTTGGATATATAAATCCAAAAATTTAAATAAAAATAAAACTCAATTAATTTATTGGTGCAATTGTCAAATAGAGCTTGGTAAACTCAGGACTAAAAATCCAAATATTAATAAACAAAGAAACAAACCTACACAGCTTCAATGATATGAGTGTAAAGATACAATATGAATTGATGTTGAAATAAATAACACTTTAATTAAAGTTGAATATTTATATTTAACTTTACATCTGTGACCAATATATAATCAACTACAAAATAGATATGTAAGTTTATTCAGTACAATATAAATTATTCAGTTCCTGAACTTTGGAGGTTAATTCAAAAAAAAACTTGATGGCTATAATAATTTAAGTATTCAACAAATGTACTACTGGTAGTCTGTTAAATCCTGAAGGGTTTATTAACATAATTTTAATCTTTTAAAATCTGCATACTTATTATTAAATAAGTTTAAGCAGGAAATAATTATTAATCTAACTATTCCAATTAGTGCTCTTGGTTTTACAACTGCACTTTTTAATATACTTCTACATAACAAATTTGAAGCAATAAAAATTGACTCAACATACAATACTAATAGTATAGAATGGAAATTATATGCTTTAATAGGCATAGTCGATGAAACAGGATTTCTATTAAGTTACCTTTTAATTAAAGCAGAAAAAAATAGAGATATTATCAGAGTACTTGTTAATTGGATGAACTGTTTAAAAATTAGACAATTGATTTGTTTTCCACTTGTTCTTATTAATAAAGCATTTTCTGAAATAAATGCTGTACAATTAGTATGGCCAGAATCTTGTTTGCAACTATGTGCATGGCATGTATGATGTGCTATAAAGCAAAGATTAAGTTCATTAAAAAATATCTGAAATTACAATTATAATCCTGTTATAGCAAATCAGGAGTGTTCAGGAATTGATCCAAATTGGGAGTTTCAGACTGAAAATTTGAATATAATTTGTCCTTTAGAATTTTGAAATGATATAATTAATCTTGTTGATTAACATTACAACCATCACATATTACTACCAAAACCTAATAGAGAATTTGTAACAAATTCAAAAACAATTTAGAAAGAATTAGTTACTAAGATTCATAGATACTGTCAAGACCATAATTTATTTAAACTTTGGCTTTATTTATAGTCAGAGTGGTATTCTTATAAAAAATGTATTTTGTAAACAAAAGCTACAAATAGTAGAATTAATTATATTAAAACAACTATGATCATTGAATTACATTGGTGACATGTTAAACATGATACTTACATAAGTTTTACTGACTACGTATTAAGTACTTATGTTATATTCTTATTCATAAGGTCATTAATCAACAACTTTATTGAATTCACCTTTTGCAACAAAATCATTATACAGTTTCATAAAGAAAAGAGTTCAAAAAAAAAGGCTAATACATAAAAAAAAAATTTGGCTTTCTTAATCAATATAAAACAAACACAGATAATTGGACTTGTTCTTGTTATTCATATCTTTTAGTTGTTTTTTTTTATGCAAACATCTTATAGCTAGAGTTGGCCAAGTAGATCATGATTTCTTTAAAAAGGTATCCAAAAATATGAATGTTTGATATTTTACTTTTTTATTATTTATTACATATTTTATTTTATTTTATTTTTACAATTACAGGTGCAATAAAATAACAACTTTCTGATTATTGGAATAAGTAATAATAAAATTTCAAATGTTTTTAACTTTCAAAACACTCATATAAATATCAAATCATTCCAATAAATTACAATTCAATTGAAGACTATGAAAATAACTTTGTACTTAACAGTGATGATAATAAAGAAAATTCAGATGAAGAGGTTTTAAATCACCTATGCAATGTGCTTGAAGAGGTAGTAACATCATATTTTTTTTAAATTGTCAATATTAATTTATTTATTTTTGTATTATTATTTGGTAGAGTAAAAAAATTCTAAACATTTCATAAAATAAATCCAATTAAAATCTCTGGCTAAAATCTGTCTGTTCAAATTTTAAAGCTTTAGAAAATATAGTTGAAGACATCAAAAAACTTGAAAATTGCAAAACAACATCTTGAACTTGGACAGATTTAAATCACAATATAATGTACTGGTTCTTATAATTCATCATTTAATTATTTTTTTTATATATATGCACATAGTATTCAATAGATGAAAATGTTTAATTAAAAAATTATTATTGCTAAATGGTTATGCTTAATAAAAAATAAAAAAATAAAAATCACTAAATTATCAGAATTTAAAATTGTATATATTGATGATGACATCAGTTACATTTTTTTATGGGTGATACTAGGACAGCTGACAAAGTCTATTGTATAGTAACTTCAAGAGATATTCACTAATTTATAAAACTCAAAATTTAGAAATAAAAGCATAAGTGTTTGTATTGTAACAAACAGCATCTAAATTAATAATGCATACAATTTAACTTTGAAAAATATTTATTAAAAGTATTTTTGCATATTAAAGAACATACCACTCAGCTACCTATTACTAAACTAGATAATTCTTATAAAATTTATTACCTTATAATCTTAAATATACTTTCTGACTTTCAAAACTTTTATTTCTTATATGCTAAACAATATTTTGCTTGTGACTTCTCTGTCAAAGTTGTGAATATTTTAATTAGATTAAGCAAATATATATTTAATATAATCTACCTCAATTAAAGAACACTATTTTCAAACTTGTTTTTAGTTTTAGATATTCTAGTTCATCTGAAAATATTGGTAATATTATTAGAAGTATAGTATCTTTAGCTGTTTATATAAACTGTTATCAAAGAAACCTCTTTATATTAACAAAATAAGATTTTATACCCCTTATCATCTTGATTTTGAAGACTATAGAGATTTTTTTGAACCACTTTTTGACCCACAACAACACATACCTATCTTTTTACTTAACAAACAAATTCAAAATATTATAGCCAATACAGATGATGTTCTTAATTATCTAAAAGAAAATAAAAAGATGAAAATGTTGTTTACATTGAACCTTCTTATAAAGATGAAACTCAAGACCTCTTAGCCTGGATTGCTAATTTTGAAAGGCTGCAATTGCTAATAGCTAGAGTCTTGCTAAACAGAAAAAAATTATACCAGTTTTTTTTAAAAAAATGCTGATAAATGGCAACAAGCTTATTATCCTACAAATGTTGTTACTAATAATGCAGAAAATAATTGGACTGTTACAAAAAATGCTTTTATTGCATAATTCTGTAATCAATGAATTAGAAATCTAAATAAATTAAAACAACTTTTTACATATTTTTTTTGCTTTCATTAAGACCATGATTATTTGTAGCTATTGCTTTGTTGAATTTTAATTATGATTATATAACTTGTACAAAATAAGTCTACAACTAACTATATGTACAACTTTTAGTTGTTTATTTTAAGTAGTTTACTTATATAGCAGATTCTACACTAGCTGCTATACCTGCAATCTACTAGGAGATTACCTATTTAAACACTCTAATCTTTATATTTATATTAACAAATAGCATACAAGTTTTTGTATATTGAAGTAACATCTAATCTAACCTTGCTTTCTTTGTTTGTATATTCATTAAGCTGTTACATATTTCAGAATACATCACCTGACTGTAGAGCTACAGAAGGCCTTTCTGTTAAATAACTACCTACATTTAGTCTCTTGTTAACAGAGCTTGCCTTTCCAAAGTTTATTCAGACTCCAGTACTAACTTTATAGCATATCCTTAGTACTTATAGTATACTTCTGCTTTTGACCTTAGATTCCCAATTCAGATAAGCTAAAAGGACTATAATTTGTTCCTAGTACTCTAGAGTCTGCCTTCCAGAGTCTGCCTTCTAAGGTTCTTTTCCTTCAGTTCGAGACTTCTGGCAGTCTGATATAACAGAGTTATTAAATAAGTAGAAACTAATAATAATCTAACTAATGTCTAAAAGTTATATTACTTTAATAAGAAACTCTTTCCAGAAATTCTTATGCATAATCCTGTTACTGTAAATGAAGCTTTAAAATTTGCAAAAAAATTTAAACAAAGAAGAGATTTTGTTATTTGAAATGAATCTAGTTTAGCTGCTATAACTAGAAGTTTGGAAAAGGATATTGACAATCTAACCAAACAATGCAACAAATGACTCTTAATTATACAACTATTGTATTAGCAATTACTAAACCTACATTTGAAATTTAACAAAAGTTCAAACCCAGAAATCAATACCAACCTAAAACCTAATTTCAACCTAGAAACCAGTACTAGAGACTTTTAATTTTTTGCTATAACTGTTAAGAAAAAGAACACTATGCTCAAGATTATCTAGCTAAAAAGCAATCTACAATGAGTCAATATAAGCAAATAACTTAGGATAATAAAAGTAAAAATATCAACTATATTGGAATTGAAAATAATAATAAAGTCAATAAAGTATATATTATCAAAATACTAAAAAGCAAACCTTGTTCTACTAACAGAAAACAGACTAAGTTTTCAAACAAAATTCTGAATCCTAAAGAGAATTTAAACTTAGAAACAGAACTGTTATATCAAATAAACTTGATACTCAAATGGATAAAATTTCTGTAGAAATTCCTGTTAAAGTACCTATTGCAAAAGGAACTAAACCAAATCTAAATTCAAAACTTATTTATTTATAATTGAACAAGTTAAACTCTATGATGTTTTAACTAATATCCTAAATATGAAATCTTTTGCTACTATTAGACAATAGTTACAATTTTCTATTCAGCATAAAAATCTTGTAAGAATTTTGCAAAAGAAAAAGAAACTTATTATAGAAATAGACCAAGCTGAAACTGATTACTCCAAAAAGACTACAGCAATAAAATATCATATCTGAATTAAAAAAAACTTTGTTGTTGCTATTCTTAATTTAGGAGCAGCTGTAAGCATTATTACAGCCAAGTTCATAAGAAAATTAGGACTTCAAATCCAAAAACCTTTCAAAACTATTGTGCTTACTGCTAATAAAAATTGTACCAAAGCCTTAAAAATTATTTTTAATATAAAAATTACTATTCAGAATATTATTATTTCTATTAACCTTCAAGTAATTGAATTTATGGATAAAACTTTTTTCTTGGAACAAATTAGTTCAACAAGTTAAGAACCAAATTAAATTTTGAAAATAACACCTTGAATATTTAATACTTAGAAAAAAAAGCTACTTCCAATGCTACTTATAATACTAACTCTTATTCTATCTTAGAAGAAGTAAATAAGAATAATGAAGATCAATTATTGATAAGCTAGATAAAGAAGAAGAAATAACAATATATTATTTAGAAGAATAATCTTTTGTAATTAATAAAATATATTACAACCTCTGGTCAGAAATAGAAGCTACTTATGCCTTTTATTTAACCCAACTGTTAAAAGAAAAAATCTATTTTATTGAAAACCCAAACCTACATGTGAATCTTGAACTTACTCAAGACCAACATGTTTAAGATAAACAACTCTTAATAGAAAATATTGATATTTTTTTAGTAAAAATTTTAAAAGATGAACAGTTTAAGGAATTAAGACAAACTAATATTATTTGTTATAAAATTAATACAAATAGCTTTAAACCTATTAAACAAAGAATCTACAATATCCTTCAGATAAACAGAACTTTTTGTAAAAAGAATTCAAGCAATGCTAGAAAAAAGAATTATTAAAAAATCCTTTGAACTTTGGTCTTCTTCTGTTATATTTGTATCAAAGAAGTATAGATGAAAAAAACTTTGTATTAATTATAGAAAACTTAATACTATTACTAAAAAAGATGTATAACTACTACCAACTATTCAAGAAATTTTAAACTTCTTCAATGAAGCCTTTTGGTTCACTAGCTTAGATTTAGTTAGTAGATATTGGCAATTTGCTATAAAGAAAGAAGATAAAAAGAAAACTGCCTTTATTACAAAATAGAGAACATATAAATTCAATGTTATGCCTTTTAAACTCACTAATGTACCTGCAACTTTCCAAAGATTAATGGATAAAATACTTTGCCTTTTTATTAACAAATTTGTAATAGTATATTTAGATAATATTGCCATTTACTTCAAAAATTTCCAAGAACATTTGGATTATATTCAACAAATTATAAATGTTCAAAAGAAGCTAACTTAAAATTAAATTTGGCAAAATGTTATTTTTTCTTAAATAATATTAAGTTACTAGAACATATTATTGAAAAAGATAGAATCAAAACAGATAAAGACTAGTAAACAAAATTAAAAATTTTCCAAAACCTACTAGTCTTAGACAATTAAGAGAATTTTTAGGAATTGCCTCTTATTACTAATAATTTATAGAAGAATTTTCCAAAATTACTAAATCTTTAAATCAGTTATTAAAAAAGATGAATCCTATCTGTAAACAGAAAAACATCAACAAGTTCTTGATATTTTAAAAATTACTTTATCTCAAACTCTAACTTACAACATTCTAATTTTAATTAACCTTTTTATCTGCATACTGATACTTTAATCTCATAATTAGGAGCAGTTTTATTTCAACTGAATAATGATCACAAGAAATATGTTATTGCTAATTTTAGTAGAAGTTTAAATAATGCTAAACAAGACTATTCTACTACTGACTTAGATTGTTTAGCTATTATATGGACTATTGAACACTTTCATCAATACTTATAAGCCAAACATTTTTTTTTTATTACTGACTATTCTGTATTGCAATAATTAAGAACTTTTAAGCTTAAAGAAAGAAAAGCTAGATGGATTATGAAACTAGAATCTTATAACTTTACTATAATTCATCATTCTAAAAGAAAGCATAATAATACTGATGCTTTATCAAAAATGTATAAACAAGAAACCAATATGATTGAAACA